AGAATATATAGCACAGTGATCCAACTTTTGCATAGCATATATATTAATCAACAGATAGCAGAAACCATAAAGAACTAAAGACAGAACATAGAAACGAGAGAAATAAACAAGGCAGGATGTATATAAATCAAGGTACTGAAATCAGAACTTAAATAAAGGCAGAAAGCTACTTCATTTTTTACTGGCCGGAGCACACCGTTCTTCCTCCTATTTTCGGCTGAAATTGTTAGGCTCAGGAACAGCCTTCCACGCCATGCAATTCACCATCCAGAGAGAGATAAAAACCAGTCAAAGTCTCCAACAAGTTGGCTAAGGTCATAGATCCAAAGGGATCTACCAAAGCAGCCAAGAAACCCCAAAAATCTGACCTAAACCTCGAGAATAAATCAATAACTCAACCTTATTTCAGGTCTGAGCAACGCAGAGGTATTCCCCTCAACAACAGGCTACCAAGGTCGATTTTAGGTTACTGCAAAGGAAGAAGAAGTATAGTTGTACAGAGAAAAGAACCGGCAGCTTCGAAGAGAAGGAAGAAGGTTTCAATTGCCAAGACCCAAGTAAAAATATCAAAGGTAAGATTTAATCCCAACCGTGGATTAAATCTAGGGGTCGAAAATGGTTCCAAACAAGCACACAATCCGGGTCATACTAATGCCACCAATAAGTGAGTGCCACTTAAGCAACAATAGTAATGGGTAAGTATCAATAGAAATGCACCGGCCCAATAAAGTGTTAGGAGAACCACTTATGCCCAAATAAGCCCATAGTCTGCTAGGAAATTAGATGAGTCCAGCAGATATATGCATACATATATCTGTTGGCTGGGATTGCTTATAGTTCATTGTACCATTTTGTATAGATCTCTGAAAATATTTTACCTAGTGTGTGTTTGTTTAATTGTGAAACCAAATTGTTGGGAGAATATTATTCACGAGAACATGCTCAATTTGCAGTATCCATGTGACTGTGTGACATCAAGTATAGTTGTCAATGTAATATAGCAATGGTTATTAATCTAGTTTCTAAATTTGTTGCTATCGCTATTTGCACAATAATAATTTTTTTCTTTTGTTTGCTTGTGAGGAAAATTCTTTTCTTTCTTGGCTTACAAAGATTTTATTCTTGAATTCAAACATCCTATTTTGCAGTATGTACCTTGCGCCGGGGATACAGTTCTTGGAATAGTGGTTGATTCAAAAGCAGATGTGTGTACCTTTGGTGCTTCAATGACATTTTAGAGGGACAATTAACTGTATGTGCTAGTTATATATTGGCATCTTGAAACTTCACTTTCATTTGGTTTTTGGCCACCCTACATTTTATATTTTCTACTTGGTACCCTTTTAGTCCATGCCCCTATATTGAACCTTGTTTCATTTCCTCGTTATGGTGGAAATTTAAATATATGCAATGCCTTTGTAACTTTATATCTGATATATGCACTG